TATAGAACATTTTGGAGGTATCAAGACGAACACAGATTTTCGACCATATAAGGATGACTTACTGAGTGCGGTTGCCCAGTCAGGTTGGTTTTTTAGGCAGGCAATTTTAAGGCACCTTTTCTAGCCCCCTCCCCATGTGGGGTGAGCAGAGTGGCTCCTCGAAAGAGCTGCTCAGTCGCACTGACAGGACCGGATTGCACTACTGCCTAAATCCAAGTGCATAAACGACCATCTTATCTGTGCCGCCCATATGCAGAGTTGCACACACACACACACACACACACACACACCTTCACAATATTTTCTTCTCTTACTAATTAAAGATACGTAAAATATAAACATTATGTTATTCAATAATTGTATGAATTAACAACGGCCTTCTTTCTCACAACACCTTCTCGCCCGCCTTCCCATCACACACCAGACACTGCGCCCCAAGTATCCTTATCCGCCCATGTCCAGGGATACAACTGACGTCTTCCAGTCAGCTGGGGTTTAACTAGTTCGGGGGCGAGAATTCCTTGTAGAGCTTAACTGATAGGTCAAACAGAGTGATGGAGCATTTGTTGTAAGCTACATGATCTGCATGATACCCTGTGCTCCAGTAGTTTTTCCACATCTGGTATTTTCTTTTGCAGGCTTTCTTAGATTTGTAATTCATCCACCCAGTCTTATTCCCTCTCTTACATGTTTACCAGGGTAAACATTCCTCTACTGCGATCTCAAGGATTTCCATAAAGTTTTGCCTTGATTAATTTATGTCTAATTGCTCTTTAACGATTTCCTCCCAATTAATTTTCTATAGGTTTCCCTCATTAGCTGGTAATCTCCATGGGGTTGAAGTCGTAGTTTTCCTCCTCAACTACTTCTACTTTCACACTTTTTATTTTTAATTTTATCCTCTTCGCCACTGTTCAGCTCGTTAGCTGCTTGGGCTGTCGGTCATGTCTTTGTTATGCACTGTTGGCAAGTGGGCATGCATTGGCTCCTAAATCCACCTGAACCTGCTCGCAGTCGGTGCCGCCACTACACTCTCCGGCAGGTTGTAACAAGAGTTCACAACTCTCACTCCGAAAAAATTCGCCCTCACATTTTTCTGGACTTCCTGCTTCTTCAACCATGAGCTGTGACCCCTTGTGGGGCAGGCGCCAGCCAGATCCAGGTATGGACACTCCACTGTGTAGTGCCCTTTGAGATGTTTATACCCCTCAATTGGGCCCCCCTTGCCCATCTATAGCATACAGTAAGCTAGGCAGTTGCAGGCACTCTAATCTCTCTGGGTAGCTGAGGCGTCGAAGTGCAGGCACCAGTCTGATGGCCCTCCTATGGACATTTTGAATCAACTGACAGCCCCTAGCATATCTCGGGGACCAGACAGTACTCCAGGCGAGAAAGCACCTCATTCTTGAAGATCGTTACGAGGGACGGACCATCTAGATATCTGAACGACCTTCTTATAAGACCTAATTATTTTGTTGCTTGATTCACCTTCTTCTCACAATGGCTTGAGAACTTCAGTTCATTGTCAACATACACACCTAGGTCCTTTTTCACATTCAGTCTCTATTAATGAAATTTATGCGTCCCGTTGGGTCATATGATACTCATCCTGCCGTGGGTGCGTTCCAGATGCATCCTCTTACACTTCGTAACATTGAATCTTAGCAACCATTCTCTAAACCCACAGGAATCTTTCTGCATCTCTTCACAGTCTGTTTGGTTCTTAATTTACCTGAATAACTTGGCATCGTCTGCAAACATTTGTATAGGGGAGTGTATAGCTTCCGGCAGGTCATTTACGAAGCAAATATACAACAACGAGCCCAATACACTGCCCTGTGGTGGGGTACACATGACGATTTCGACTTTCAAAGATTGTATTCCATCTTAGTATCTAGTGGTCGCTGGTCAGAGATAGTTTCTTCCCGACATGGTGTCATGATCGTAATGACGGCTAGCCTGTCGAAACCTAAGGATTCATATTACGCTTACACGTCCACAAAACCTTCTGAGTCTCCCAGTGGAAATGTCCTCCGTTCTCTCTGTTTCCTTGATGACGTCATCGAGATGTCGTATGTTTGTTGACCGAAGTTGTAAACTCTTTCTGCTACCGAGACACTGTAAACCTTTTTTCCACCTATGAATATCAGAGACTCTGATAATCACAGTTTAAATTGTGGTAGGGAGGTTAACTAAAGAATTAGTTAATATTCCGGAAGGGAACTTTAAATCTGCTCCTCGGGTTTGTAGTAAGGCATTGCGTGTTGGGACGGGATTGCCATCCAATCTTTTGTGATCAATTTAATTCTTGCTCTTGATAGCTCAGTCAGAGCATTGTTTGTAAAGATAATACTGGGAATAAAACTGAGTTCGTAGTCTCAGTTTCAACCATCAGAGTGTTACAGTAACGTAATTCAGTGAAATGGTTAAGTAGGTGGAATCCGTGACCGGCGTGGGTGGAGGACGGCGGTTCGTTTTCAACCGCCAGTAAGCCGTCACGCTTCCCACCCACAGGTAGGTCATTCCGCCTTCTCTGTGTTGTAAATCGCCATTTTTAAGTGATTTGACCTAATTAATAGTTTGATTGTGCAAGTGTTACAGTAACGTAGTTAATGTGCTTTGAGTGAAGTATTTTATGTCCTTAATGTCCCTTTGAAACGTTGAGGCTCGTTATCAACCGTCAGTAAGCCGCCACGCTTCCCACCCACAGGTCCCTATCGCAGCCTAGGCCGTGTCTGTAGCGTAGATGACACATCCACTAGTCTGGGGAGATGTCTGAGGTCCAGTTGTCTTGATTGTAATGACGGCTAACCTGTTAAACTAATGATCCATATTACGCTTACACGTCCACAAAACCTTCTGAGTCTCCCAGTGGGAATGTCCTCCGTTCTCCCTGTTTCTTTGATGACGCCATCGAGATGTCATATGTTTGTTGACCAATTGTAAACTCTTTCTGCTACCGAGAACCTGTAAACCTTTTTTTTTCACCTATGATTAGCAGAGACTGATAATCATAGTGAAATTGTGGTAGGGAGGTTAACTGAGGAATGAGTTGATATTCCAGGAAGGGAACCTTTTAAAATCTGCTCCTCAGGTTGTAGCAAGGCATTGCATGTTGGGACCTGTTGCCATCCAACCTTTCGTAATCAATTTAATTCTTGCTTTTGATAGCTCAGTCAGAGCAATGTTTGTGAAGATAATAGTAGGGAACGAAACTGAGTTCGTAGTCTCAGTTTCAAACGTCAGAGTGTTACAGTAATGTAATTCAGTGAAATGGTTGAGTAGGTGGAATCCGTGACTTTAGCGTGGGTGGAAGGCGGCGGGGATCTCAACCATCAGTGAGCCGCCACGCTTCCCTCCCACAGGTCCCTAACGCAGCCTAGGCCATGTCTGTAGCGTGGAGGACGCATCCACTAGTCTTGGGAGATGTCTGAGGTCCAGTGGAGTCGGGTGTCCCCTTGAACCCCGACCGTCAGAAGCTCCACTACCACCCATGGGCCCCATAGGGGGTAGTATTCCCCTAACGCTATGCCCACGTGGTGAACCCAGATCGTCAAGCCCCACAAACAACTGCCGGCCCCATCATTGGTGGATAAGTACAGTACATAACTCAGTAGAGCTATTGGTGTGGTGGTGTTAGTCCACCGGAATTATCGGAGTGTGTTGGAAGGTGTCACTTGGTGATGAGACTCCCATGGTGGCTGCTGGAGTATTGCCCCTGGGGTATTGAGTGTTGTACTGGCAGGTGCCACTGGTTTTAATGGTACTGAGGTGCTATAAGAGTTTATGTGTGTTTTGGTGTGTGTACACCCAGTAGTGGTGCAAGTAAATTGAGCCTGAGGGCATGGTACCAGGAGTTCCTATTTTTGGGTTCATACAGCATCTTTTCTGTAACCATTTTTGTGTTTCAATAAACATTGTATTTGAATGTTGGATCTATGATTCACCTATAGTATTCACTGTTGTTCTTTCCCTAATGCTCGATACTATAATTACATGTACCCATGGGCCTTCCTCTCGCGTCACGTTACCAGGTCAGAGTATTAACGTAAGTTGCTGTAAGAGTGCCAAGCCCTTAAAGGGTGGCCGCTTGTGTTGCCCACTCTTACAATGGAGCTTGTTCACCATAGTCGTCAAGACTAAATCCAAATTGTTGTCTCCCCTCATGGGTTCCGATACGATTTACGTAACGAATTAATCTTGAATGAAAACAAGTTAAGGGATTGTGCTCTGGATGCTGTCTGGATGACTCTATGAAGCTCAACTTTTGTTTAAATCCATGAATCTACGAATGACACTGGATTTATCTAAGTCAGAATTTTTATTTATTTATTTTTTTTTTTTTTTACATTTCGATCCCCAGTATAAAAGTTTTAGAATACCCCCCAGTTCAAGTTACCTTGTCATTTACAGCAAGTTTTAAAGTACCCCCTTCACTTTCAAATGGCCCCCTATTTCTCACAGCTAATTTGGCCATATAGATACAAAGATAGACCAAATTTTATTGAATATTTGTTTGTGTGGTTGTGCAAGTATTGAGTTTTGAAATATATTATTTATGGAGACCGGTAAGTTAGGTCTATTTAAAAGCAAAATTCGTCGTAAGAGAATCTACAATATTCATTTCAAGATCTTCATTAATGCGCCCAATATATCATGACAATCTAGTCTTAGAAAGGACGTCACAATTGCATGTAGGCCTACATCGGTATGCACACATAAGCATGTGCCCGAGGGTGCACAGGTGTTTTTTCTAACACACAAAACATTATTCCCTTTGAATACGCGTGGGGTAATTCGAAACTAAAAGGGTGTAGCTTGAACCTAAGTTTTTATTACCCCGGGGTATACTGAACCTCGTTAGAACTTACACCCGGTACTTTGAAACAAGGTTCAAATTACCCGGGGGGTCGTCTGAAATTGTTACACCAGGACCACGGAGCATAGTATCTACTGCCACTCTGAGTAATTTTATACATTTTAGATCATAATGGTCTTACCTCCTCGTCCAGATGAGCGGGATCGTCCTCAGCCCCGGGGAGAGCTTCAGTCACTTGCACCGCCAGCTCGCTGGTAAAGGTCGTCAGATTCTCCAACGTCTTTGCTACGAGCGAATCCTGTTGGTAAGGTGGGGAAGACTAAGCTTACAACGCCAGTATTATGACAACATACCGCTAAATTATAAATGTATAGGCCTGATTCTCATAGGTTTGCAAAGTAAATATTTTCCATAACTAATTATACACGAAATATATACAATTCTTACTTAGCTCATTAATTTAAGCTAGTTCACAGAAAATAACACCCAGAATTGCTAGAAAATTACACGGATACCTAGAAATATCTATATAAAAAAATTTATTTTTACCCCAAGAATAAACCAAATCAGGTGAAGGACTGTCACTTTTACTATTCAGGTTTTTGTCACTAGTTTTTCTTATCGTCAAAAAATACTTTCAATATGTAACCGATACTGGTGTTCGTTTGCCGCCATCTTTATAGACAACTCAATTAAGAGGCGAGGAAGTCGTCGTTCGAACGTTTCAAAGACATCAATAATGCAGAAACATGAAGACATTTTTCAAAAGAAGATAATGATTGATTGATAGATTTTCCTTACTTTAATAATAATAATAATAATAAGAAGAAGAAGAAGGCTGTTATACCAAGGCATAATTTAGTGTATTTTTTGTGAACTACGTGTTCTCATTATTTTCCGTTCCACGCAGCAGTTATTTTGGCAAGTTTGGGGAGAATTTCTTGTATATATTGATGTATTACCTATGTAAGAATTTTGTAGAATGTTTTCCATAATTTTTTTTTATGATTTACTTACGTATTGTAAGACTAGATCATTCAAGAGCTCTCCAGGAATATCTTCTTCCGACGGGTAGCAACGAGATGTAACAAGAATGCTCTTGGCGTCTGACGAGACGTATATATACAGTAAGTGGCAGCAAGCTTACACCGAACACAAGACCCTATTTTACAGGAAATATTACAGGTAAACAACAATATATCACACAGCTGGTGGCCAAGAAGCATCAATATTAACACAATCGGCCCGGAACCATTATACGCGAGAGAATAACACCACTCATATAACCGAAAAAAATGGGGACTATCCTGCTAGTTCACACAAGGACCTGGTGGGACCCTCCCAATCACTAAAGATGAGCAACATCCCTTTAGTTAGACAAGGACCTGAAGGACCCTCCAACAAACCCTAAAACAGCACATTCCCTTGGATCGCACTTTAAACCAGGTTAGGTTAGCTTAGCTTATCTAACCTCCCTTGCCCCTTGAGTACTGAGGGACGTCTGTCACTGGTTAAGCCACAAGCCAGCCTGCGCAAGGTGGAAAGCCCACCTGCTATTATTCTCCTTCTGTACTTCCCACTTCTTAACAATACCTTGCCCTAAATCTCCTTAGTCACCTCAGAGCCACGGCTCTCTTATCTCTGTGTTCTGACTGACTGACTGACTGCTGCCTAGGGGTAGTCAGTCGATCGTTTCTGCACAGAGTGTGAAATACAAGCCTAGTGACAGTTGAAGATATTTTTTGTTTAAGTATTGTGGAATAGTAGTGAGCGATATAAAGTGAAAAGAATATATAAGAACATAAGAACATAAGAAAATAAGGAGTCTGCAATAGGCCGGTTGGCCTGTGCATGGCAGCTCCTGTCGAGAGTTACTACCACTCTCTATCATCCATGAATCTATCTAGCCTCCTTTTGAAACTTTCCAGAGTTCCCGCACTTGCTACAAAGTTGCTAAGCTTGTTCCACTCGTCCACCACCCTATTTGTGAACCAGTTTCTTCCTATCTCCCTCCTAAACCTAAACTTATCCAACTTGAATCCGTTGCTCCGAGTCCTATCCTGCTCGGATATTATAAGAACTTTATCTATATCCCCTTTATTGATTCCTTTCACCCACTTAAATACTTCTATCATATCTCCCCGCACTCTTCGTCTTTCTAGGGAATGCAAGTTAAGTTTCTTTAACCTATCCTGATATGGAAGGTTTCTAAGTCCCGGAATCATTTTTGTCATTCTTCGCTGCACCGACTCTAGTGAATTTATATCCATTCTATAATAGGGGCACCAGAACTGAACCGCATAATCGAGGTGCGGCCTAACTAGCGCAAGATATAGTTGCAATAAGACCTCTGCACTCTTGTTACTTACACTTCTAGATATAAAACCCAATACTCTGTTTGCCTTATTTCGAACATTAACACACTGTTTTCTAGGCCGTAGGTCCGGGCTTACAAGTACCCCTAGGTCTCTTTCACAAGTCGACTTCTCTAGGTTGATGTTGTTTAGGCTGTATACATTATAAGTATTTGTTCTTCCAATATTAAGTACGCTGCACTTGCTGGTGTTGAATTTCATTTGCCATTTTTCAGACCACCCCTGCAGTTTATTTAGATCCTCCTGTAATGCATTTGCATCCTGCCCTGAATTAATTTGCCGCCCTATTTTGGTGTCATCCGCAAACTTGCTTATGGTCATCACACTACCAGTGTGATGACCATATAATCGAAGTGAGAAGTCTAGTGGTAAAGACATACCCTGTGAACAGTTTTGTGAAGATCTAGTGATTATTAAAGAAGACTACAGTTCACAGGTGTATTTCTGTGACCTGGTGGAAACCTACCTGCCTGTTGTTCTGTCTGTACATTGATACCGGGACAGCCAATGGTAATTCGATGACACTTGTGAGATATCTACTGCTTCTGTACATACGACCCTAGCCGCTGGTAACCAGTGGCGGAAGCTGTTAAGCGGCGAATGGGGAGCATTTCTGTGAGGGATAGTATACAGGAAAGTTTAGGATTTATCCCTTTTTGATTGATTTATGGACATGAGGTTAGAGGACCCTTAAAGGTCCTTAAGAAGTGCTGGCACATTTTCCTACGTTATTGCATCATACAATACGGTCAGAGTCCTTACAATATGGTCATAGTAATTACAATATGGCCAGAATCCCAATATGGTCAGAGTCCCAGACTTTCGATCAGCGGATTATGAGGGGTTAAAAAAGTACCTAGGTGAGGTCACCTGGGAACGGTTAGGTCACCTGGGAACGGTCAGGTCAGTCTCCGGTAGGATGGGTGAGGTCACCGGCGACACAACAATTGATCATTGATGCTAAATTCACTCGTATACTACGTAAAGCACAGGAACAAAATGCACCATTCAGAAAAATGAGGTCAAATAAGAAAGAGCCGAGGTGGATGACCAAACTTAAACATTACATAGGAATAAAGAAAAAAATTTATAAGAAATTAAAGGGAGGGGGGGGAGCATCTTAGAGATAGGTATAATGAACTAGAAAGGAATGTTAAAAGGCAAAGAGGGACTACGAAATCAGGTTAGCAAGAGAATCCAAGGCAAATCCCAAAGGATTTTTCCAGGTATATAGGACAAAGGTCAAGGACAAAGTGGGGCCTTTAAAGTCAGAGAGAGGGGAAGTGATCGATGGTAGTGCGGAAATAAGCAAAGCATTAAACAGCTACTTCTTATCAATTTTTTCAGAAGAAATTCACGAGGAAACGCCAGAGGTGGAACTAACATTTAGGGAAAATGAAGAAGAGAAACTAAAGAATATCACTATAAGAAAAGAGGATGTTCTTAAGAAAATAAATTAATTAAAGAAGACAAAATCCCCAGAGCCGGATGAAATTTCCCCTCGAGTTTTGAAAAGGTGTAAGGAACAGATTAGCTGACCCCTAGTATATTTATTAAAAAAATCATTAGACGCAGGAATTGTATCAGACTTGTGGAAGAAACTAAACTTGCATTCCCTAGAAAGACGAAGAGTGCTGGGAGATATGATAGAAGTATTTAAGTGGGCGAAATGAATCAATAATGGGGATATAGATAAAGTTCTTAGAACATCCGAGCAGGATAGTACTCGTGGCAACGGATATAAGTTGGGTTTTAGGAGGGAGATGGGATGAAACTGGTTCACAAATAGGGTGGTGGACGAGTGGAACAAGCTTAGCAACTTTGTAGTAAGTGCTGGGACGCTGGAAAGTTTAAAAGGAGGCGAGATAGATTCATGGACGATAGAGAGTGGTTGTAACTCTCGACAAGAGCTGCCATGCACGACAACCGGCCTGTGCATACTCATATTTTCTCATGTTCTTATGTTCTTGATATGGAGGATCTCTCTGTCCAGTCGGAAATGGTCACATTCATTAGAAGAGGCCAGGTGCGCCTCACTACAGCTGACCCTCATGGGTCTTACCACAGTTAACACATACTGCAGGAACAAACAGCTCTAACTTACGACAAATGCGGCTGACATGGACATACATCTGAAAAAGGAAGGAGATTAATTCAGGGCAGGATCCAAATGCACTACAGGAGGATTTAAATAAACTGCAGGAGTGGTCAGGAAAATGGCAAATGAAATTCAACACCAGCAAGTGCAGCGTACTTAATATTGGAAGATCAAATACTGTCAATGTATACTGCCTTAACAACATCAACCTAGAGAAGTCGACTTGTGAGAGACTTAGGGGTATATAGCCTGACCTACGTACAAAACAGTGCCCTTACTGCGAAATAAGGCAGCAGAGTATTAGGTTTTATATCTAGAAGTGTAAGAAATAAGAGTGCTGAGGTCTTACTGCAACTGTATCTTGCATTAGTCAGGCCGCACCTCGATTATGCGGTTCAGTTCTGGTGCCCTTATTATAAAATGGACAAGTGATCGTGGGCCCTTTGTGCCCGGTGGTGGGTCCGGTGGTACAGTTTACTGAGGCATGAAAGTTGTTATGCGCAACCGCCGTCCGGCTGACAGCGTACAGCGACATCGTTTTCCAGATGGTTGTGGTTGTTATAATCATGATCGTGGGTGATATAATCATAGTCGTGGTTGTTATAATCATGGTCGTGGTTGCCATAATCATAGTCGCAGTTGTTATAATCATGGTCGTAGTTGTGATCATGGTCGTGGTTATGATCATAGTCGTGGTTGCTATAATCATAGTCGCGGTTGTTATAATCATGGTCGTGGTTGTTATAATCATGGTCGTGGTTGTTATAATCATGGTCGTGGTTGTTATAATCATGGACGTGGTTGTTATAATCATGTTTGTGGGTGTTACAATCATGGTCGTCGTTGTTATAATCATGGTCGTGGTTGTTATACTCATGATCGTGGTTATAATCACGGTCGGTTATGTTAAACATGTTTGGGTGTTACAATCATGGTCGTCGTTGTTATAATCATGGTCGTGGTTGTTATACTCATGATCGTGGTTGTTATAATCACGGTCGTGGTTGTTATAAATCATATTCGTGGTTGTTATAATCATGGTCGTGGTTGTTATAATCATTGTCGTGGCTTTATAATCATTGGTCGTAGTTGTTATAATCATGGTCGTGGGTGATATAATCATAGTCGGTTATAATCATGGTCGTGGTGAAGGCTAATCATGGTCGTGGTTGTTATAATCATGGTCGTGGGTGATATAATCATAGTCGTGGTTGTTATAATCATTGTCGTGGTTGTTATAATCATGGTCGTAGTAGTTATAATCATGGTCCTGGTTGTTATAATCATGGTCGTGGTTGTTATAATAATGGTCGTGGATGTTATAATCATGGTCGTGGTTATGATCATAGTCGTGGTTGTTATAATCATGGTCGTGGGTGATATAATCATAGTCGTGGTTGTTATAATCATGGTCTGGTTGTTATAATCATGGTCGTGGTTATAATAATCATGGTCGTGGTTGTTATAATCATGGTCTTGGGTGATATAATCATAGTCGTGGTTGTTATAATCATGGTCCTGGTTGTTATAATCATGGTCCTGGTTGTTATAATCATGGGCGTGGTTGTTATAATCATGGTCGTGGTTGTTATAATCATGGTCGTGGTTATAATCATGTCGTGTGTTATAATCATGGCCGTGGTGTTATAATCTGGTGTTATAATCATTGTCGTGGTTGTTATAATCATTGTCGTGGTTGTTATAATCATGTTCGTTGTTGTTATAATAATAGTCGTGGTTGCTATAACCATTGTCGTGGTTGTTATAATCATGGTCGTGGTTGTTATAATCATGGTCGTGGTTGTTATTATAGTAAGCTTTGTCAGATCAAACTATGCCAGTAGAAAAACATACATCTATAGGGTTATAATTTGTAAAATGTAAGGATGCATTATCGCCTCAGGGACTATATTAGATACTGCACATGATGTTACTGTCTACTTTAAATGTGTCATCAGTTTTCTGAGCATGTAAGCTTTGGTCTTGGCGGGAGGTGTAGTGATGGTTTGTCAGACCACAGCTTACATCTCAGAAACTCCAGTCTGACCGGACATTAGGGAGGTCAAAGTGTAGGGTAACTCTGCGGTTGACCAAGGATTGTAAATCAACTAGCTCCCCCTCCCATGTCACACATGTAAGAGGGCACCAGCCGGCTCTCTCCCAATATACACAATGTCCTACACCGCAGAGGGGGGCCAGTCTTGACCCGACATTAGGGGGGTCAAGTGTAACTCTCACGGTGGACCGGGGGTTACAAATCAACTAGCTCCCCTCCCATGTGACATGTCACCACAACAGACATGTAAGAAGGCACCAGCCGACTCTCTTCCAATATACAATAACCTACTCTCTGAACAAAGGCCGGACCTGACCTCACATTAGCCAGGTCAAATGTAACCCTCGGAGCCCAACTCAAGGGGCCACAAATCAACCAGGGCCTCTCATGTCACACGGCCCCACCTGATGACTTTCCCAGATAGTTTCTGAAAAGTCCAGACCTGACCTCACATTGGCTAGGTCAAATGTAAGGAGACCCTTCGCCGCCCCCCCCCGACCAGCTGAACCTGACGGCTCGCCTCCCAATATATAGGACGTGCTAGTCCTCCCTCGGTTAATTCGCAGAGAGAGAGTTGTCTTGTAACAAGGTGGCCAGCTACTACACCACCAGGCCTGCTCGAGAGAAGTCAAGGGCCGGAGGCAAGTCGCCTCCGGTCTGGACCGAGACTTCCCTCCGGCGACCAGCTAAGCAGTCTCCCATAGAGACAACCCAGGACTACCTGCTAGGCCTCCCCTAGGTCACGTGAGTGTTTGTCAGAGCTTTCCATGGGATGAGTTACCTACGTGGGAAGTGTATTCATTTCAAGTTCGTGTCCGAGAATCAGAGTGTCTAGTAACGTAAAATGATGTCCTAGTAACGTAAATATAATGTCCTAGTAACTTCAATAGAAGGTGTTATTAATGTGTCCATGTCATGTTCGTGATTAATAAAGAGTTGTAACGAAGCAGTGTTTGAGAAGTCGCCTTTAAGAACGTAATAGATGTGTATTGACGTGTAAGACACGACCAGTGTACGATAAGAGTAAATAACTATCACGGCCACGCTACCAAAATCTTCCTCTCTTTATACTCTTATACTATCAATATTCTACCTTAAATCTTGTCTCATTACATTATAATCATTGTCGGTTGTTACAACTATTGTCGGTTATATAATCATGTTCGTGGTTGTTATAATCATGGTCGGGTTGTTATAATCATGGTCGTGTTTTTATAATCATGTTCGTGGTTGTTATAATCATGTTCGTGGTTGTTATAATCATGGCCGTGGTTGTTATAATCATGGTCGTTTGTTATAATCATAGTCGTGGTTGTTATAATCATTGTCGTGGTTGTTATAATCATAGTCGTGGTTGTTATAATCATTGTCGTGGTTGTTATAATCATTGTCGTGGTTGTTTTAATCATGTTCGTTGTTGTTATAATCAGAGTCATGGTTGCTATAACCATTGTCGTGGTTGTTATAATCATGGTCGTGGTTGTTATAATCATGGTCGTGGTTGTTATAATCATTGTCGGTTGTTACAATCATTGTCGTGGTTGTTATAATCATGTTCGTGGTTGTTATAACAGATCGTGGTTGTTATAATCATGGTCGGGCTGTTATAATCATAGTCGTGGTTGTTATAATCATTGTCGTAGTTGTTATGATCATGGTCGTAGTTGTTATGATCATGGTCGGTTTATGATCATAGTCGTTTGTTATAATCATGGTCGTGGTTGTTATAATCATGGTCGTTCTTTATAATCATGTTCGTGGTTGTTATAATCATGTTCGTGCTGATAATCATGGTCGTGGTTGTTATAATCATGGTCGTGGTTGTTATAATCATAGTCGTGTTTGCTATAATCATTGTCGTGGTTGTTATAATCATTGTCGTGGTTGTTATAATCATGTTCGTTGTTGTTATAATCATAGTCGTGGCTATAACCATTGTCGTGGTTGTTATAACTGGCGGTCGTGGTTGTTATAATCATAGTCGGTTATAATTATTGTCGGGTTGTTACAATCATTGTCGTGGTTGTTATAATCATAGTCGTGGTTGTTATAATCATTGTCGTGGTGGTTATAATCATGGTCGGGTTGTTATAATCATGGTCGTGGTTGTTATAATCATTGTCGTGGTTGTTACAATCATTGTCGTGGTTGTTATAATCATGTTCGTGGTTGTTATAATCATGATCGTGGTTGTTATAATCATGGTCGTGGCTGTTATAATCATAGTCGTGGTTGTTATAATCATTGTCGTAGTTGTTATAATCATTGTCGTGGTTGTTATAACTCATGTTCGTTGTTGTTATAATCATAGTCGTGGCTCATAACCATTGTCGTTGTTATAATCATGGTCGTGGTTGTTAAGAATCATTTATAATCATGGTCGGTTGTTATAATCATTGTCGGTTGTTATATAGTCGTGGTTGTTATAATCATTGTCGTAGTTGTTATGATCATGGTCGTAGTTGTTATGATCATGGTCGTGGTTTATGATCATAGTCGGTTGTTATAATCATGGTCGGTTGTTATAATCATGGTCGTGGTTGTTATAACTCGCGGTCGTGTTTTTATAATCATGTTCGTGGTTGTTATAATGTGGTTGTTACACGTGTCGCTTATAATCATAATGTGGTTGTTATAACTCGCTGTCGTGGTTGTTAAATCATTGTCCGGTTTTATAATCATGTTCGTTGTTGTTATAATCATAGTCGTGGCTGCTATAACCATTGTCGGTTGTTATAATCTATCGGTTGTTATAAATCTGAGTCGTGGTTGTTATAATTATTGTCGTGGTTGTTACAATCATTGTCGTGGTTGTTATAATCATAGTCGTGGTTGTTATAATCATTGTCGTAGTTGTTATGATCATGGTCGTAGTTGTTATGATCATGGTCGTGGTTTATGATCATAGTCGTGGTTGTTATAATCATGGTCGTGGTTGTTATAATCATGGTCGTGGTTGTTATAATCATGGTCGTGTT